AGAACCATTCACTTTATCCTGCGGAGCCATTGTTTTCTCACCTGTAAAATGAGACTAGTGATGCCAACCTTCTGCCTTCCATGATTAAATGACAAGGTGGGAGAAGAGTGCTAGCTTGGTGACTGTCTGAGAATAGGTCTTAATAGGTGGCAGCTCTGGGCTTGCATTCTGTCAGGGCCACCCTCAGATAGACAGTCTGGCCTCTGGAGAATCCTGCTGTCTGTGTGTGGGGAGTGAGCAGTGGGCCTGAGTAAGAGGAACACGGGCTGTGAAATGGACTGGCTCAGCTTCCTAGCAGGCTGGACATCCTGCACATCCCCTCACAAAGCCAATATTATTAAATTTACACATCTTGTTCTTCTTGTGCTATCTAGCATCTCTCTATTACCATGTAATCAACTGATGTGCCTTAGAGCCAACCTGTCGGAGATGAACTCTAGCCTTGTGTGGCTAAATTTAAATGAACTACCAATAAAAGTAAATCAAATGGAAACTTTAGTTCCTCATCACACTAATTACATTTCTAGCACTTCATAGCCACAAGCTATTGTATTGGACACTGAGGTGTAGAACATTTCCACCACTGCAGCAAGTCTTCTGGTCCTTCCAAATCACTCAAAAAATTATTCTGAACTCTATCAAAGGAAGCATAGTTGTGAATGCCTGCTTAATGTTTACATTGGGTAAAGTTAGTTATGGTGAATAAGATTTACCCTTCAATTCCCCATTTCAATGTCTCTGATGTCCAGGTCTTGTCTCTGTTTGGTCCTCTGTCTGTAGACCTGGCAGTGACACGGTCTCTGGAACAGTAGTTATGGGGTTTAGGGAAGGGCGACTACCCACTAGGTAGGTGTTTCAGAGTCCTGGTGGGGAGGGCAATAAAAAAACCTCCCAGGTCCTTCTGATTCCCCTGAGCCTCACCTCTTCCACTGGAGAATCACTGAGATCCATTGAGACCCCTCACAGGGTAGAGTTCTAGAGTCAGGGGGTCTGGGTTCAAATTCCACTTTGACTGCTCAGTGGCTGTGGCTGGGTGACCTTTGGTGTGTGTGCCCTTAGCCTTTTTGAGCCTCTTCTCATCTCTGATGACACTCCTGAGCCAATGCAGGGATGCTTTAATACAGGGCCTGAATGCACAGCAGGAGCTCACTAAAGTCAATGTCTTACACGGAAAAAAGCCTGTGGTTTGCATTCAAATGGGCTTTGTTTCAAGTCCTGGTCTGCCCATTCACGACCTTGAACAAATCTCTTATGCTTTATGCATCAACTCAGCTTCCTCACCAGTAAGAAGTAATAATAATAGCACATATCTCCTGGACTTATGAGGATTAAATACAAATGGTATATGTAAAAGGCCTCATGCCAGGCATGTACTGGTGTGTCTTCCTGAGATACAACATGGGATGAGCTTATTGTTAATATTGCTGCAAAATATTCACACCCTGACTGTGTGAGGTGAACAATAGGGTGTCTATGAAACTTATATGATTGTAAAGGGCATGCACATAGTAGGTACCCATAAAAGTTCCTTCCTTTACTTACACTTGCAGCCTCTGTGAAATAGACTCGAGTCAACCAAACTGTTGGGTCCAAGTACAAGCCTGTCGTCAAGTGGAGTGGTACAAAGACAGACAGAAATGATCTATGTATACAGCAGCTTTGGAGAAACTGATAGAAATACAGCAGAGTTCTGCGGAACTCTGATGTATTTTATATATATCACATGGGACTTGTGATGCTCTGTTTTAAAAAATTCAGGACTTGTGCTGAAGCTTTGTTTTCCAATGTAGTACTACTGAGATTATGGACTAGTCCCTGGAAAATTAAACTCAGTTCTGCAACAATCCACTGGGTGCCGCTTTGTAGGAACTCAGCGAATAAACATGGAAGACGTTGACCCATGGGCAAATGCTGTCAGTTAAAAGGATACACAATTCTGAATTCATGTAAGAATTAGGCAAATATGCATTCAAAATTCTGTAAGATTATTATCTTACCTTTTTTGTACAGTTGTGATCTAAGAGTGTCAAAAGTCATGAGTAAGAGGGAAAACCAAAGTCACATTTACTGAGTGCCTGCTGTGTGTCAGCTCTATGCTGATTGTCTCACTAAAGGCTCCCCACAGGTGAGGGCAGAGATATTAGATCCATTTTACTGGTGAAGAAAGAGAGAAGAGATCCTTGTTTGGGGACCAATAAGAGCAGAATTCAAGGAGCATATCAATTTGTACAGAAAAAAAAATCACTGCATCTTAATTTTTACTAACTTATAATGGAAATAGCTTCTTCTTTGATTAAGAATGCAGGCCCATGATGGAGTAGTATTAGCAGTTCCTCAATTTGTCACCAAAATTCCCAGAGATTTGCATATCTCCTTATAGTCTTTGCAGTTATTTTGAAGTAGCATTTTGGTTATTATGACAGTTCTGAAATTATCATGGCCATTAGACTTGGCACTAGGAATGGCAGAACACATTTTTACTTAATGTGTTGGTAAAACAAAGGACCATATTACTTCAACATGAATTTGTTTACAAAAACTTACACTGGTTTCGATATACTTGGCTTTCTTTGTAATCCTACATATTTCATCTAAAGTATTTAAAAATAGTATACTGAGATGCGGTCCATAGATTTCACCATTCTGCCAACTGGGGTCAGAGTACAAAGGTTGAGAATTGCTAAAGTAGAGGTTCAGAGAGGTCCAAGTATTTTCTAACTTGATGAAATTAAGATTTGAATCCAGATCTGGGTAACTGACTAACAGAAGCTGCAGATCTTTCCAGGACCAACGGGGAGTGGAGGGATGTACTGTGAGAGGGCTCTGACTCTGGCCAAGCCCCGATGATCAAGAGAGTGAAGGCCAGGGTGAGGGGTGGCTTGAGATGGATTTTACCACCATTTAAATGACAAAAGTACTGGAGGTGTATCCTCACAATGGAATATAACATAGCAATGGAAATAAGTGGGCTATTACTGCACATAATGACTTGATCTCACAAACATAATGTTAAATCAAAGAAAGCATGCAATTTAGTCAGATAAAGCCCAAGAAATGTAAAGCTAATCTATGGGGACAGGAATGAAAACTGTGCTTGTCTGTGGAATGTGGAGACTAACTGGAAGGGGGCACAAGAAATTTTTCTGGAGTGATGGAATGTTCTAGTTCTTTATTGGATGGTGGTTACTCAGGTGTTTTTATTTATCAAAAACTCATATGATACACTTAAGTTCTGTGCATTGTTGGGAACCGGCCTGCCTGGTTTCAGGATCTGAAACCCCCCCATGGCTAAGGCTGAGTGAGTGACCTTTGGACCATAAGCCACTAAGGAGACAAAGTTTATCTCCCTGGCAGGAGCACAGCTTCTGCTCCTTTTTTCACAACTGGCCCCCAGTGTTTGATCAGTTAGCCAATGATGGGTAAGATTCCTCAAGGGGGGGAACCACCTAAGCCAGGCATGATCACATAGAGGCCCCAGGGAAGGACTTGGGGGCTATGAAGTAAGGGGCTGATGGGCCCTCACCCCCGATCCCCCTGGTTTTGACGAAGCCTGAGTCCTCAGTCTGTTTGTGAGAAGTCTCCAAGAATTCCTTGGTTATATGCCTCCTCTGCCTGACTTAAGCTTGGAAACAATGACAGAGGGTGGTGCAGCCTTGTGCTGGGAATGGCGGGCTCCCTGGGTAATTAGGCCTGAGAAGGAATATGTGAAACCCTGTGAGACCTGCTTTGCCGAGAATGCTTTTAGTTAAATGATAAGGGCCTGAGCAAAAAGTGAGTTTATGTGCCCAAAGTTCTGTAGCCTTTTAGCTGACAGACCCTGATTTAGAAGAAGCCCTAATGGTTCTTTGTATACTATCTACTGTTTACTGCCTGGCAATGATTAATAAGCGGTACCTGAACTCCTGTGCAAAACACCCAATAAAAGCCTGTCTAGGCAAGGGTCAGTGCACTCTGTCTCCCTTTGAGAGAGCTGCCCAGCCGCTCCAAGCCGCTCTCCCCTTGAGAGGGTGGTGAGGCCATTCTGAGGCTCTCTCCCCTTGAGGGAGTAGCCTTGCAGGCCCTTTTCCTCCACAGGACTCGGAAGTCTCTGTGAATTTGTCTCTTGTCTCACCCATGACGCCGCAGGCACTGCTGGTCAGTGCATGTGTCAGTGCATTTCATTTTATATACATAATACCTTAACTAGACATAACAATGATAAAAATTGCTATTTCTATTCTGCTGATGGACAAATGAAAAAAAAACTAAATAAAGAAGGACCCTATTGTCCAATCCTCTTGCTATAATGGGAAGCTGGAAGGGAAGTAAGTACCTGTGACCAGCCTAGTAATTTCTATGTGGGAAACTTCTCACTTAAATTCCTTCAAATGTATACCCACCTCACTTAGAATTAAATCAAGTTCCTACATTGTCTCACAAGTAGAATGAATAAATTAATTGTGTTATAGTCACACAAAGGAACACTATTTAACGATGAGAATAAATGAACTGCAAGTACACACTAACCATGTTTAAATCTCTCAACATAATTTTGAGCAAAGCAATCTAGATGTGAAGGAAACATAAACATGATTCCATTTATATTAATTATAAAATAGAAAAAATAATCTATGGAGTTAGAAGAATAGCGGTTACCCTTGGGAGATTCTGGTTGAAGGGGATATGTGGCCTTCTGGGATATTGATTATGTTCTGTTTACTAATCTGGGAGCTGGTTACACTGGATGGTTTTTGTAATTAAAAATAATGGAATAAGCCACTGAAACATTTAACACACCTACAAGCAAGCAGGAGTTCTGAGTTACAAATTGTGTTCTATGTAAGTGGCACTCCCCAACCCCCAGTTGTGCAGTGCTATAGATCGCCCGAAGCTTGTTGTCCCTGAATCAAATCCAGCTCATTTCCCTGACATGGAGAGGGAATCTCATATTGACTCCAATGTCACAGCACTGTCTCTGGGCCATTTCCCCATGCAGCAGAAGAACCCCTGACCCCACTTACTCAGGATCCTGCACTGAGCCTCCCACACAGTGGAATCTTTCCGGCACGGTTTTCCAGTCTTTAGCCATTTTCACCATGGCGCCTGCATCAAGGACCCCGTACCCAAAGAGGTGATTAAACTCCAGGCCGACCCCATTCCGTCGCCACTGATGAACCTCATCATGAAGCTGGTTTCGTTTTGAGGTGAGCACAGTCAGATGCTGCATGTCTCTCCATGTTAGATCTAGGCTGCAGACCAGAGGCAGAGAGAGTTTAAGAACAAGGCAAAAGGGAGGGAGAGAGAGGGAGAAAGACACAATGACTAATGTAAGGCAAAAACCCCTTGTAAGATTTGGAACATGTGTGGAACCCCCAAGTCAAGGGAGAATTTCCACGCTATTTAAAACCATTATATATATATATAAATTTATATTTTTTATAAATATATAAACTTGTCTTTTTTACTGACATTTATTTCAAATGTCATTCTAATACACACACACTGGAATGGCTAAAATGAAAAGACTGACAATACCAAGTATTGGGAAAGATGTGGAATAACTGGAACTCATGTACTTTGTTGTTAGGAATGTAAATTATTACAAACACTTTGGGAAACTATTTGGTTATGTCTTTGAACATTGTCCATATACTTAAGCTATGGTCCAGAAGTTCTTAGGTATATATCCCACAAAACCCTGTGTGTATATTCACCAGAAATATCTGCTAGAATATTCAAATGTTCAAATTGTGAAGCCCTCAAATGCCCATCCAGAGGAAAATGAATAAATCAGTTGAGGTGTATTTATAGGATGGGGAATACTATAAAGCAATAAGAATGAATGAAATATTGCTACTCTGAATAATTTGGATGAATCTTACAAATAGAATGTTAACCTATTATGGAAGCCAGACACTGAAGAGAATATATTATATTATTCTACTTGTTTAAAGTATAAAAACCGGCAAAACTAATCTGTGTTGTTAGAGGTCATGTTAATGGTTAGTATTGGTGGGGTAGGGGACACAAGGGCCTTTTGGGTGCTGGCAGTACTCTGTTTCTTGATCTGGGTGTTGGCTACATGCGTGTGTTTTATTTGTAAAAATGAGGCTGTCACTCTTCAAGGGCAAAGATAATATCTTCTACACACTTTTATTGTTAGTGTCCAGGGCATAGGGCAGCCATTGGCACATGGTTCAGTGACAAAACAAGTCTATCTGCAAATGCCATTGTTTTTGGAAATTAGTGTCTGATGTTACTTGGTGTCTGTGTTTTTCAAACTGCAAATCATGAGTAATCTGTGGGCTAGGAAATCAACTTACTGCACTTTACCTACTGGGGATGCACATAAAATCCTTCTGGTGGGGTCATTTAAAATTCCACTGCTTAGGCCATACCTCAGACCAATTAAATCAGACTTTATAGGAGTAGGACTCAGGTTTTAAAAACTGTTAACACTTCCTAGTTCATTCCAATAGAAAGCTAAGGTTGAGAACCAGTGATTTAATAGATGGGACTCTCACTGAAAAATGAATGACATGGAAAAGAAGAACAGTATACATTTCATATAATATGGAAAACTATTTTTTTATGGAACTTTTGGTGTGTGTATTGGATGTGTGCAATCCAAAATTTATTTCTCACTGAGCGTCATGGTCAAAAAAGTTGAAAAATCCATATTCTCTTCAGAATTCAAAGGACTGGAAACAACATAAGTCATTTGATGAAATTTTAACACATGCAGTGTTCATTGGTTTGAAGCTTTGAATTAGATCCCAAAATGCTTTTGTTCTTTTTATTGTATCTGTATGAGATAATGGATGTTAACTAAACATATTGTGTTAATCATTTCACAATATATGTAAGTTAAACTATCATGCTGTACACCTTAAACTTACATATATAACGCTGTATGTTAATTATATACCTATAAAACAGAAAAAATAAATAAAAAGAGAAAGTGATGTCAAGAAAGGGGAGCTAGAATGCCAAGGGAGCCAACAGTGGAGCCTGTGTTATTTCACCAAGGGGGTCTCAGACTGTGATCCTCAAAGCCCTCTGTGTAAGAATGATGTGGGGGGTACTGACAAATGCAGATTCTGGGCCTCAACCCTAGCTCTCCTGAATCAGCCTCTTGGAGGTTGTGAGCCTTTGAATTTGCACTTAAGACAACATTACGATTCTTCTGTGCATGGATATGTGAGAACATGGGTCTAAGATGGCAATTCTCAACCTTGGCTGCAAGCGAATCATACATTAAAAAAATAATATCAGACAGGACCCACAGATGTTGATTTTGTGGGCTTGTCCAATATGTAGCCAAAAGCTTAAGCAAAGCTGGTCTGGGGAGTGGTTCCTAAATTCCTGGGCAGCACTGGGATGTTTCTTAAAATCCCAGCTTTCCAGGAATGATCCTGGAGGCTCTAGATTGTGGACCTGACCTGGGCTTGGATATCCATTTTTAACGAGAATGTCAGGGCTTCCAATTATCAGGAAATTTGAGAAACTTAAGGATCTTTTAGGAAGTGGCATTTTAAGCCAAGGTCAAGGGGACAAGCAAGAGTGACTGAGTGAAAAGACAGGGAAGAAGGGAGGTTCTAGGGAAGAGAAGATTCTAGAAGTATATAGAGGTGGGAGAAAGCAAGCATTGTGCAGGTGATTAGTGTAAGTAAACAGAAGAATGCAGAAGCTCCAAGTATGACAGGGAGGGAGAATCAGGAATTGTAAGTGGGAGAGGATGACAGGGTGTTCACCCACATTAGAACACTGCTACTTTCTCTTGGTGACAGCCAGTAAAGGCAGAGGGAGATGTGATCTGATTTTTATAAACAATTCCAGAGAGAATGGACTTGAGAAGTGTGGGACTAGAAAGCAGGAGCATACTAGTCAGAGGCTGCTGCAGGAATCTGGCCAGGTATGACCATAAGGAACATATCTGGGAGCTATCACGAGGCCATGCATGAGTAAATCCTGGGTAAATTATCAATAAAAACCGTTATGTTTGTGCAGCTGGAACATTGTGGTTCCAATCATTTATAGGACTTGTGGTATTTCAGAGATAAATAATGCTAGTAGATTGGTCCTAGGCCACTCAGAGTGGGTCAGATCGCTCTGGTTTAGAGGAAGCACCCACAGAGATCAAAGTGGAACCCAGGGCTTCTAGAGGAGATGAAGGATGGTTACATATTCATTGTGAGTGGCCAGGGCTCCAAAGAAAGAGGTCACTCAGGACACTGTGGAGAAAATCTTGGACAGATGTGGCAGAGGTCTTGAGCCAGGAGAGCATGTGGCTCTTGGAAAAGCCAGTCCAAAGCCCAGGAAGAGTCTGGCCTCGTGTGTCTGAAAGAAGAGTCTTGTACCAGGGAGACTCAGGAAGCGCTGTTTCTTAAACCGCCTAAAGCTGGTCTTGGCAAGTGAATTGTATGCTTAAGATTGTTCACCTGTGTATAATCAGCAGACCTGCATCTACTGCAGAGCCCTGCACTCACCAAAATTTATAATTGGTTTACCGACTTCCTGCTAAGAAGAGTAAAGTACAAAATAATGACTTTTGTTTTGGAGTTCTGTTTGTGAGGATCACCCCTCACCACTATATTTCAGAGTTCTATTTATGGTATTAAATTCTCCTGGGCCCAGTTTTCCTTCTAATGATCAAGGCAACAAAGGGAATTCAGGAGAGAACATGCATCTTTGGAGGACTTGCAAACTGAAATGTTTAAAAAAGTTTGCAGTATTGAGGTTGGAGAAATGACTTCTGCTAACAGCTGGTAAATCCTAGAAGCCAATGGAATTTTAACTCCTCTGGTTATTGGGTTTGATCTTTATCTGAAAAGAGTAAGGTGTGTGAACCTGAGCAAGAGCTTCATTCCTCTGGACTGCTTTCTCTTTGTGCAGAAGGAATGTTTGGAATAGTAAAGATATGTTTGTTTTCTTTTAGCATTAAGATTCAGAGTCTATTCTCTAAACTCTGACAGGATTATAAACCAATTTCAAAGGCATAGATTACTTCCAGTCTGAAAAAAAAATGCATTCGCAAGTCAGGCTGGTGTTTTTCCAGTCTTTTTTTGTCTAACTACTATGAACTGTGAGAAGAAAAAAAAACCCAGTTTACTTGTTGTTCTGGTATAGCTGTGATATGCCAAACCTCATCCTGAAGAAATTGAAACTTGATTTTGTGTGTAGCTTTTGAGGAAGAGTCAATTCATTTGGCCTATTGCCTTGGGCAGAATGAATGGTGAGACCCTCAGCCCAGATGGTGGCTCTTCCAAATCCCATGGTTGGGCCAAGGGAAGACCCTGGAGTTGGAGCCCAGGATCCCTAGGGTTTAAATCTCGGGTTTGCTGTTTTTCAACCTGGTGAATTTAGATGTGACTTTAACAATCCAGGGCTCAGGGTTCCCATGTATAAAATGGGGATAAAGGCATTAGAGGTTTGCCATAGGGTGTAAATGTAGATCATTGTGTGAAAAGTAGCAAGCATGGTGCTGATCACTTAATAAAGAATTCATTATTGTTATTATTATTAATAAAATCTATATCATATACTGAGCATTAATGTAACTTAAAAGAGAATAGAACATTATTTCCTAGAAAAGTACTGGTCACAATATTTAAAAGCAAATAAAAATTTTTCAGCTTTAAGGCACATTCAACCCTCAAATAAACATATATCCAATTAAAAAATGCACTTTCCTAGAGGCGTGATTGTTTTTGAAGCAATCCTACAATGTTTCAGAAAGTCATAGGAGAACTACTGATGGTCTAGCTTTCTACTTTTTAGATAAGATAACAGAGATCCATAGGAGGTGATTGCCCACTTAGTTGCTGGAAGGTACTAGCAATTATTTCTATCATACCTATTCTCCTTCTTTATTAAGAAAACCTCAATTTTATTCAGAACCACAATATTAATCAGCTACGAAACTATATTTCCCAGCCTTCCTTGCTGTCTAGGGTGGTCATGTGATAGTTCTGGCCATTGATAAATAAGCAGAAGCCACTGGGTGGAACTTTTTGGAAAAACCTTAAAACTAGGCTAACTCAGGTGGTGGATTTCTTTTTTCCTTTTCTGCCTGAAATGTAAACACAATGACTGGGCTTCCAGCAGCATCTAGAGAACATGAATGTGGAAGGGGAGAAATCGAAAAAGAGCTGGGTTCATTGATTCCCAGTAGACCCCAAGCTTACCCTGAATTTGTTATCTTTCATATGACAGAAAAATTAACTTTCAGTTTAGTGATTGTTATTTG